CTGAGTTAAAACCCTAGTACTGCCAAAACAAAAACAACAAAAAACCCCTAAATCTATAGTAATTTTCTCTTTTGACAAAGTAGAGGAGGATCATTCTTCTTTCTGCTCCATCAACTTGGACCCATCATTTCCACTGGGTTTAATTGCACTTGAATGCAAAGACCACGTGAGCCATAGATGGTGTAGTGCACCAACATGGAGAGCATGACCAGGGCTGGGCGAGTGGCTTGCTGATGTTTACCTTTGCATTTCCTTTTCTATTTTTTGCCATGCTCTTAAAAAAATTTCAAAATAGCCTTTTTATTCTTTTTTCATATTTTCACTCTTCCTATTAGAAATTTACAAAAAATACAGGAAATAAAAGCAAAAAAACAAGATGACAAGTGTTCATTTCCCCATCATTCAACATTAAACATGGGTGACACTTTGGTGTATTTGCCTCCATCCACTTTCTAACGTCAAATTTTGACAAATTACACAAACACTACATGAATAGTTTTATTGTTTTAATTTAAAACTACAAATTACAGATAAACCGCAGCCGGGAGTGAGTGGCTTATGTCTGTAACCCTAGCTACTTGGGAGGCGGAGATCAGGAGGACATGGTTCTAAAGCCAGCTTGGGTCAAATAGTTCACAAGACTCTATCTCAAAGAAAATCAACACAAAAAATGGGCTGGAGTGGCTTAAGGTGTAGGCCCTGAGTTCAAGCCCCAGTACCAGAAAAAAAACAAACCAAAAACAAACCCTCAAAAAAACAGATAAACCTCAAAATTTCTCTGCTCTCTGTTCCCACCCAACCCCTGCTCTTTAGCTTGAATTTTATGTCTTTTTGAGCCTTAGAAGAAAATAATTTGATATGTGTGTATGGTTATTAATTGGAAATATATTGCTATTTTGCACTTCACCAAATAACCCACTGATCATTTTCTGTGTCTTTTTTCTCCACTCTACTCTTGCTTCCAAAAGTCAAGCAGTACATGGTGAGTTCACTCACTCCTTTTAAGGTTATGTAATCACCCATTGTGCAGGAATATTTTGCATCTTCATTTCTTTACTGATGGTTATGTAGGATGTTTCATTTTTTCCCCTCTGTTGCCAACATCATTACAGCAGTCTTCTCAAACATCCAAGAGGGATTTTGCTCCAGTTAAATTCCTGGAAGTGGAATTGCTGCATGAGCTTTCTCGGTTTCAGTAACCGCAAATCATCCTCCAGGATGGCTGAAACATTTATAACACACTACACACAACACCCAGCTCTTCTTCATCCTGACATTTTCTCATTCGTGTGGGGGCAAAGTTGGCATATTTTTATTGTATTTATTTCCCAAAATACTAAGTTTATTTTTTCCATATGTATATATTTTTAGCCATAGGAATTTTCTCCTCCAGAAATGATATTTTTTTTGATACACTGGTAAACTGAATTTTTACATACATATCTGTAATATAGATGGACCTAACATTTTCTCTAGTTTTGCTATTCTGTTTTTGGTATCAAGATTAGACTAGCCTACTAGGATGCATCTATCTTCATCTTCCTGTGAACTTTGCAAATATGGTCTTTTGTGTGTGTGTGTGGGGTAGCCCTGGGGTTTGAACTCAGAGCCTCACGCTTGCTAGGCAGGTGCTCTTACCACCTGAACCTCACCTCCAGCCCTTTTTTTGTGATGGGCTTTTTTTGAGATAGGGTCTGGCGAGCTATTTGCCCATGTTGGTTTGGATGGGCAATCCTAACCTCTGCCTCCTTGAGTAGCTAGAATTACAGGCGTGAGCCACTGGCCCCTGCTTATATAATCTTTTCTTTCTTTTTGGGATCACTCCAGTAAAACTTGGCCTGGGGAATTGGAGAGCTGGAGCATATTTTATACCATGACTTCAGTTTCAATAATTATTGGGGTATTTTTCATCTGGGGCCAAGTTTTGTAGTTTGTATTTTTATCAACAAATACCTCTTTTTTTGTACACCCATGTTTATTGCAGCACTATTCACAATAGCCAAGTTATGGAAACAGCCAAGATGCCCCACCACCGACGAATGGATCAAGAAAATGTGGTATTTATACACAATGGAATTTTACTCAGCCATGAAGAAGAATGAAATCTTATTTGCAAGTAAATGGATGGAACTGGAGAACATCACTCTGAGCAAGGTTAGCCAGGCTCAGAAGACCAAAAATTGTATGTTCTTCCTCATGTGTGGACTTTAGGGCAAATACATCAATGTGATTGGACTTGGGTCACATGATAAAGTGAGAGCACACACAGGAGGTATGGGGATAGGTAAGAAACCCAAAAACCATGATAGTATTTGATGTCCTCAATGCAGAGGAACTAATACAGAAACTTTAAAGCGACAGAGGCCAATAGGAGAAGGGGATCAGGAACTAGAGAAAAGGTCAGTTTTCTCTAGTCAACTTGGGATGTAACACATTTGTGCATGGAAGCAATGCTAGGAATCTCCCTGTACAGCTACCTTATCTCAACTAGCAAGAATGCTTTGTCTTTCTTATTATTGTTTATACTCTCTCTTTAGCAAAATTAGAGATAAGGGCAGAACAGATTCTGCCTGGAAGCAAGGGGGGTAGTGGGGGAGAGGGAGGTTTGGGGGGGAGAGGGAGGGGGCAAGGAGTAGCGGGGAGAAATGGCCCAAACATTGTATGCACATATGAATAAATAAAAAAAACCAAAAAACCAAAAACCAAGTACTTCTTTTAAGTTTTCAAATTTAGTCATAAAGTTGTTCATACTATACTTTTTTTTTTAAAGTTGCCCTTGTCACTTATAATATTGTCATTTTCTTAATCAATCTTACAAAATGCCCAATTTATCAGTATTTGAAAGAACACCAGCTTTTGGTTTCTAAAATCAACTTCACTTTTTTGTTTTAATCATTTCTGCTTTTTTATTATTTCCTTCCTTCTGCTTTCTCTGGGTTTATTTAGCTGTTATTTTTCCATCTCTTAAATTGGACAGCCTGCTCCTTTGCATTTTTTTGTTTTGCAATAAGACTATAAAGTCCCCTTAATTTTGGGTTCTCCGGGTTTGTTTTGTTCTATCAGGCTTTGTTGTCATTCGTTTCTGAATACAATGTGATTTCCACGTTGGCTTTCTTTTTAACCTGCATGTATTTATTTCCAGGTATGTTATTTTTCTCTAAAAATGTGTAACAAAATCTTTCAAGGAGAAAGTATAAAAATTAATATAGCAAACACCTGGGAACGCACTTCTGTACTCATCACCTTCCTAAGAAATTATCTCAGGTGAATGCTTATAACATAGAATTTTATTTTTCATAAATGATACATGTACATACTAAAAAAAAAAAATTCAACCTGACTTCCTGTCCCCTTCCTCAGAAGCAACTGCATTTGCTAATCTAAGGTGTTGTCTTTGTGTTGCACGGGGTTCTTTTTGCCTCTTTGTGTTGATTTTTAAGTTTACTGCATTGTGGTTCGTGGGTGTGATCTAAAAATTCTTTGGAATCGACTGAAGGTTCTCTTGAGGCCCAGTACTGAGTTTCCAAGAATGCTTGAAAAAAAAAAAAAAAAAAAAAAGACTCTCAAAAAGTTCTTTTTCTGAAATACAAAATTCTCTCATCACTTCCTCTCTGGTAGCTTCCCTGGTCTTGGGTGAAGACCAACTCTCTTATGTATTCACCCCAGCTTCCACTCTAGCCAAGGACTTGACCACCCTGTGCAAAAAGTGTGTGTTTCTGGGCACACACTTCTCATACATTTAAAGGATGATGGTGAGAAGAACCTTGAACTCTGAAGTAGTCCTGGAGCAGACAGTCCAATGCTGGGCACACCAGACACCCAATAAATGCTAGTTGATTGCACAGGGAATGCGCTGTCTTGGGGAAGAGTCATTTCTGGGGTACTGTAGGTGTCCTGTGGGAACCCGTTCCCCCTCCTAAACTCCAATCCTTTGTTTCTGCTTGTACCTACTGAGCCACCTCCCTGAGCCTTCCCTTCTCATTTATAAGCACTTTGTCTCAGTCCCACTTCCACCTGCCCATGCCATGGCAGGTCACTTCAAAGTGACCCCAAGTGCTTGACCTCTTGAGTTATCTGCACATGCTCAGCCACAGCCCATCAAGGAGGAAGCCAAACTTGACTTCTCTCTAAGGCCCCTGGGATGGGGACAGGGAGGGGGTCAGATAACTGTCATCTCTACAGTCTTAGTTTCAACCCTAGTTGGCACCTCCCTTTGGCATTCACCTTGACATCTGCTCTAAGCCTTTTGGCCTCCTCCTCTCAAATCCTCTAGCACCTCCTCTGCCCCTCTGTGTAAGCAGAATGACAGGGGACTTGCTTCTTGATGGAGAAAATAGAAAACAGCAGGGGTGAGCCTTCATTTGGCCACTTTCCCTCCTTTCCTCCTGTTTCAGAGGTGCGTCTCTTCTGCTCTTGGACTGGAGGAATCCCGCCTCCTTGTGTCCTTGTCCCCTTCCCCTCTTACCTGTTTTTATTTTATTGATTACTCCTTCTGGTCCTGACTCCTAAAGTCTCTTCCCAAACCTTACTCCCTTCACCTCCCCCACCTCCACTCTCACTCCTCTTGGGAGTCTGATCTAGCATCCTCTCTCTGCTCTTGCCGGCCATAAATTCTAAATCTGTGTCACCTGTTTTCTAGAACTCTCCAAAGCATGGACAATCCTGATCACATCCTACTTCTCAAAAGTCTCTCCTAAGTCTGATGCCTTTGATAACAGTTTTGAACCCTGATTCTTTCAACTTGCTTTCTTGGCTCTTTGATCCTAAAATGCTGCTGTTTCCAATTTATGGTCCTCAGTTTTTCTCTCTCTAAATACCAGGAAAACACATGCTTCACCAGGAAGCCCCCTTGGGGCCATCTTGCCCTATTTTTTCCAAGAGAAGTCAGAAATCCCTAGATTTTATGAGACAGCACAACTTTAAATGTTGATAATGAATTGAAAATTTTTATAAACTGCAGTATCTCCATAGGGCTTTTCTTCTCTTATTCCACTGCCCACAGCACTTGATAAAGTACCCTGTGAGCAGTGGTAGTTGACACTTAATTGAGGGCCCCAGGCACATCCTAAGTGGTTTGTGGTTTATCTTCACAATAACCCTATCAACAGCTGCTATTATTATCCCTGCTTTACATACGAGCCAAGCTTTTGAGGCTGCAGCTTGTTGTGTCTTTGTCCTGGAGGCTGGAGATTGAGTTCAAGGTCAGGGTCTCAATCTTGATCACCCCACTCCAGAGCTCAAGCTTTTAATCACTTACTCTGCTGCTTGCTTTCCCCATTCAACAGATTAGGAAACAGGTCCAGAGGGGTTACGAGGTTGCCCAAGTCCAAGTCCACAGGGGCGGTGAGAGACAGAGAACTCAGCTGTCTTCAGAGCTGGATCTGATTGATCAGATGTGAGCACTACCCACTATTCTAGAAGCTGTTCCCCTGCCCCGTCCAGAATACAAACATTTGTAAAATAAAAAGACCTGGACGTTCAGAGCCCCCTTTCCCTTCCATTAATATGTTCCTTTCCTTCTCACAACAATCCCTAGGAAGATAATAGCTAACATTTAACCAGCGCTTCTAGGAGACACCGTTTCAAGCGCTAAGCAGCTGATAGGCATGATCTCTAATTTTAAATTTCAGAAGCACGGTAGTAGGGGTTAATGTCTCTATTTAACAGATGAAGAAACTGAGGCTCAGCAGCTCAGTGGCTTATTCACACTCAGGCCGAGCCAGCGTTGTAGCCCCGACGCCCTCAATCTTCCGCCGAGCCACGCTGGCCGTTCCACAGATGGGGGAAACTGAGGTCGGGGACAGGACGCCAGCGTGCCTGCAGGATCTCCGCCATCGAGTGGGGCGCGGAACGCACGCCCGCCCGTCCGGGTCCTGGGTCCCGGCTGCGTCTGCGGTGCGGAAGGAGAAGGGCGACCAGCGAAGGCCTCTTCCCGTAAGTACTCAGAGTCTTGCGGGAAACCGCATTAACTCAGGATCCAGCCCACGGGTCGTGAAATACCATGGCAACAGCGCGAGCGGAGGGTGTGCGTGTGGGGGTGAGGGATGGGAGGAGGGAACGGAAATGCGTCACCCGACGGGCGCGGCGAACCTGACACAACCACCAATAGAAGCGAGGAATTTGCGTTCGCCCCGCCCCGAAGGAGGGTCCGAGAAAGGCTTCCGGGCATAACTGCGTGCGCAGCCTGGGCTGTCCCGCGCTGTGGTGGGTAAAGGGCGCCTGGGCCGGAGGTGGTGGGGAAGGAAGAGGGGCGAACAGACAGACGAGGGGAGGGTCGAAGGGAAGTGGGCGAGACAGGTGGTGGGGTCGATGCTGGGGTCGCCCTGACTGCTGTGACGGAGTGAGGAACTGGGGGAGGTTCTGGCATCTCCATGCTGAGGAGAAAACCTAGGTTTACAGGGAGCCGCACGGAGACCGCGGTCCAGTCTTCAACACATTTTATTTTATTTTTATTTTTTTAGAGTTAGGGTCTCACTATGTAGCCCAGGCTGACCTCGAACTTGCGATCCCCCTGCCTCAGCTTTCCGAGTGCTGGCATTACAGGCACGCGCCACCACGCCTGGCTTCCCCTTTTTAAATCATAATATTATTAGCTGGAGAAAGAAGTTCCTAGTTTTTATTATTAGGTGAAAGACGTGCAGTGCAAAATTCCACACCGATTACATCTGGGAAATTGCCGCCCTTGCTGACTGCCATGGTGGGTCCCGCCGCCCTCTGCTCCCCAAGATTTTGTTTACAGACCTTACTACTTTGTGCGAGGCCAACGGGGGATGGGCCCAGAACCCAGCATTTCCCGGGTCTTGGGAAGTTAAATGGGGTGTATATTCTGTGCTATGGTATACACTACTGAGCATCTCCGCTAAGTACATGCATATTTTCATCCCCTTGTTGTGGATTTGCTAACAACTCCAAATAACCCTGCTTTAGGTCAGGCCAAGTTGTCAGACGTAAGAAGGAAGGTCTGTTTTCAGACTCAGAATTGCAGATAAGAGACAGATCACAATTGTCCCTTTTTCTTGCTTGGCTGCCTTGAAAACAGGACTTAAACTGGAGGAAGGTGCTTTGGGACTGCCACCCTTTTCCTGGTCGCTAACTGTGTTGCCTGTACCCTCTGGCCTCAATTTCCTATCTGGAAAATGGAGTCAGTATTGCTTTGTTCATTACCTTGGGTGAGGAGCAAATAAGGTGCACGCCAGGCACCAACACTTGGTTTTGCACAAGGGCACGAGTGCTGTTAGTAAACTTTGCGTGTCACACAAACATTTCTATTTAAATTTTTTGGGTAGGTAATACATGTCTATGGTTAATCCCCGTTCTGCAGTCTCTCGACAGCCCATATAAGCAAGCATACCTTGTGTAACTTTCCATGCCCACTTCCTCCCCATCCCCAGATTACAGCATTTGCCAGTCCTGTACCTCTTCTCATTAACATGGGGCTATTTTGACATGATTCCATCTTTTTCTTTATTATATGTAACATACCTATGGAAGTGAGTAGAAATGTAAGTTTGAAGAACCAAAATAAACACCCTATGCCAACCCCCAAATTAAGATAGTAGGATATTGCCAAGCTTTGGTGGCTCACGCCTGTAATCCTAGCTACTTGGGAGGCTGAGATCAGGAAGACCATGGTTTGATTCCAGCCTGGGCAAATCAATAGACCCCTCCCCACCCCCCAATCTCCAAAATAACCAGAGCAAAATGGACTGGAGGTGTGGCTCAAGCAGTAGAGCACTTGCTTTGCAAGTGCAGGCCCTTAGTTCAAACCCCAGTCCCACCAAAAAAACTATATCCCCAAAGTTCCCATGAATCCTTTTCTCTCTTCCCCAAAAGATAACCACTGCCCTGAACATTGCAGTCCTCACCCCCTTGTTATTCTTTGTAGTTTGCACTGCCTGTCCATTTCTCTAATGAATGCAGTGTATGGTTTTGCTGCTTTTTTGGATTTTGTGTAAATGAGATCCTAACACATTTTGTGTGACCTGCTTTTTGCACATTATGTTTTGGAGAAGCGTCATGTCGATGTGACTAGCTCTGCTTCATCTCTGTTGTTTTGAATTCCATGGTGCAGTTATAGTTGCTGGATGTGGTGACGCAGTCATGTGTTTGCAGGCTTGTTATTACACAGTTCTTCTATAGCTGTGTTTCCTGGGGCAAATGTGGAAGTTTCTGTCCACAGGTTAGACATATATCTAACCCTGTATGGGTTTCTAGGGATATTCAAATTTGTTAATAACAAACAAATAGGTCATAAGAATTTGTACTCTACCAGCTGAGGGTGAAAGTTTCAGCCATAGCCCTCAACCATTCTTTAAACTGTGGTAGGTGAGACGTTATTTCTCTGTGTACATTGGCTCTATAACACTGAGACTGAGCATCTTTTTACTGCATTTATTAATCATTTGTGCATCCTTTTTTATTAAAGTTTCTGTTGTCCATTTTCTCTTACTGTTATTTTCCCATCCTGATCTGGAGTTCTTTATTCTCAGGATAAATTTTTGTGTATGTCAAATATCTCCTAGTTTGTAGACTTCCCTTCTCCCCCTCACCCCTTTTGGTAAAAGAGGTTCTTAACTTTTAGCAAAGTCGAATTTACCAGTGCATTCTTTTATGGTTTGTACTTTTTTTTTTTGGTGGTATGGGATTTGAACTTAGAACCTTGCTCTTGTTAAGCAGGTACTCTACCACTTGAGCCAGTCAGCCAGCCCTTGGTTTGTACTTTTTTAAAATAAACTCTTACCTTGAGTCATACACTCCTTATATTGTCATTCAAAAGTTTATAGTTTTTCCTGTCTTGTGACTGCATTTAGAAGTGGTTTCTGTATACAGTGTGAGGCCAGGGGGTCAAATTTCATGTTTTTTCACTTGGGGAATCAGGTGTCTTGGCACCTGTTATGGAAAAGTTTGCTTTGATCTGGAGTTCCATTTCTCCAGCGTGTCAGGTATTTGCGTGCATTTGTACTTCTCTTTTGGGAGTTCTCTGTTCTCTCCTGTTGGTCTTGTCAGTTCCTGTACCATTACCACAGTTTACTCATCATGATAGCTCAAGGGTAAATCTTCACATCTGTAGGACAAATCCTCCTACTTTTTTCTTTAAAAATGTCTGCTGTTTTAGGTTTTCTATGTAAATTTTAGAGTCATTTTGTCAAATCACAAAACAGATGCATTCACAAAGCCTGCTGGGATTTTGATCTGGCTTGTATTGATTTGATTGCATTGGATCAATTTGGATTGTAAAGTGTTTCCAACATTTCATCTTTATGTTGCTGTAGGCTTTTTGTAGCTGTCATTTAGTAGATGAAGGAAGTTTCTTTCTCCCTGGGGGTGTAGCTCAGTAGTAGGGTGCTTGCCTAACATTGATAAGGCCCTGGGTTCCATTCTCAGCACCACAACAAAAACAAATAAACAAATATCGTTATTCAAATGTGTTAAGTTTTTTAGGCGACTAAATGTTGAGTTTTATCAGCTATTTTTTCTGTGTTTATAAAAAGACCTTGTGTTTTTCCTTTTTTAAGGCAGTGACTTACACTGATGGGATTTCAGATGCTACCCCGTCACTAGAATACATCCAGCTATGTGGTACTGTTTCATTGTTTTTATGTAGCCAGATTAAGTTGCAGCTGTGCAACTTCTTCTGAAGTCCTTGTCAGTTTTAGTGTCCAGTTTACATCATCGTCATCAGATGATTCGGGAGGGTTGGCTCCATTTATGGCTCTGTTGTAGTGTGTGTGATATCTGTAAATGTTCCTAGAATGTTTGGAAGGATTTCCTTATAAATTTGTCATCACAGGACCTGAAGCTTTCTTTTCCTGTAGATGGATTTCTTGTAAAATGTTTTTAATGGTTTTAAGGCTGTTTAGGTTTTCAAATACTTTTTTTTTCAGCTTTGAATGAGTTTCCTGTGATTTTGTATATATTTAAAACTTAACATTGTTAGAAATGGTTGATGATTTTTAAAGAAAGTTTATCATCTACAATTAGTGTATCTTTTTTATTACAAATATTGTTTATTTGCAAATGTTCTTAGAAAAATCTTACCACTTTCTGCCTAGCTGGGATGACAGGTGTGTGCCACTATATCCATTTTTTTTTTAAATTGGTTGAGATGGTATCTCACAAACTTCTTTTATGCCAAGGCAGACGTCAAACCACAGTCCTCCTTCTCATAGCCTCCTGAGTAGCTATGATTATAGGTGTGAGCCACCATGCCCAGCTTATAGTTAGGTTTTATTCATTATTTATCTGTTAAGTTTTTAAATCTGGTCTAAAGTCCTTGTATTTGAATTGCAACATTTAGTCCATTTTTCTTCATTGTTATTACTAATAATTGAATTTGTTTTCCTTACTTTTGTTGGAGAAGGTAAAACAGGTTGTTTTACCTGTTGTCTGTTTTTTAGCTCCTTTATTACCTTCTTGAGGATAAAAAATAATTTTATTATTTTCCTTTACTGATTTGGAAATTATGTGCTCTATTTCAGTGTTTTTAAAGAGGGTTGGTTACTCCAGAAATTGTAAAATGCAAGTGCGAAATTCATAAATGTTTTGATTCTTATCATGACTATCACAAGGATTTTCGAACAGTAATTGCAGTGGCTACTTATCTCCTAATTTATATACTGTTACTTTGTGTATTTTATTTATTTTTTTTGCAGTACTGGGGTTGGAACCCAGGGCTTATACTTTGAGCTACTCCACCAGCCCTTTTTTGTGAAGGGTTTTTTAAGATAGGGTCTCATGGAACTATTTGCCTCTGGCTGGCTTCAAACTGCAGTCCTTCTGATCTCTGTTTCCTGAGTAGCTAGGATTACAGTGTGAGTCACTGGCACCAGCTGTATTTTATTAAAAAAAAAAATCTCACAAATACTCCTTTTGCTGTTTCATACCTTCATAAATCAACTTGAATTTAGCTACACATTTGCTAGTTTCTTTGCTTCCATTCTACCCTGTCTTGTAGACCTTACAACTGGTATCCCTTTCTTCCTGAGATAGATGCTTTGGAATTTCCTGTGGTCACTTACTCTTTGAGTAAGTGGTTTGGTTCAGTCTGAGCTGGCCCTGCGTGATGCTCTCCCAGCATTGAAGGTGTTTTCCTACTGCCACAGACTTCCATAGCTGTTGTTGTGAAGTTGGCTGTCAGCCTAATTGTTGCTCTTTTGAAAGTATTGTGCCCTGTTTGGTTGCTGTTAGTCTTTGATATTCTGTCCTTTTCTGTGATAGGCCTAGGTGACAGTTATTAAGTTTTTCCTGCTTGAGATTTGATGGGAACCACGATGTCTTTGATTCTTATCATTTGTCTCCACTGCCAAACCTCACTAATATCCTGGTCCCCTGTTGCTGAGTCCTTTTAGTAGACTGCTTACTGGACTCTGCCTCCCATTTCTTTCCTCTCTGCCTCTGTGGTCCCAAAGCAGGTAACTCTCTTAAAACACACCTTGGCTAATGTCATCTTCCTGTTATAAGACCTTTAGTTTGAGATGCTTAGTTCCAAAGTTTCTAAGATAAAAGTGTATGGTCTGTACTGTCAAAACTAGATGATCTAGCAGCCAACTGGAGAAAACGTGGAAGTTCCTGTCTCCAGCATGTTGTGTCACTGTGCCCCTTGACAAATAAGTATGAAAGAGTGGAACAGATAAACAAAGGTACCTGACCTATGAATAGGAAGTCACCTTGCTGCATAGCTGCTTGTGTGGCTGAGGGAGCGGGGGCTGAGTTTGATGCTCAGGTGTGTGGTTTGTATGACTGTGGCCTGCACCATCAAAACCAGATGATCGACAAAGAGAAGGAGCTGAGGGAGGATGAGAATTGAGGATGGCAGAAGGAAAGAATGAGTGTAATTTGGATTTGTTGAGGTGGAGATGCTGGTGAGATACTCCCAAAGATGTCTAGTAGGCAGTCAGAGAAAAGTGGCCATGAGACAGTGAATCTCCCAAGCTCACAGGGCCAGCTGATGATGCCGTTCAGAAGGAGCAGCATATCTTTTATGTGCCAAGTTCTCAGCAAGGCCTTGGAGGCCACATTTTACTTAAACTTCATCGTATGCCTTCAGGAGGCTGAGCGTGTCAGCTAAAAATTTCTCTGTGCTCTGTTTGCTTAAGGTAACAGGAAATTGCTTTTCAGATCATGGAATCTCCTGAAGTGAACTCTAATACCTCAGAATTCCAAGCCCCCATCGCAGCCAGAAGCTCCTGGATAGGTGCCCAGGAATCTGTATTTTTAATATGCACGTTAGACAATTCTTAAGATCAGACAGGTCTGGCAAGTTCTGGTCTACTGCCACCTGTTTCTCTTCAAACCCACACTTAGTCACACTCAGTCACCTCTCTGGCAGGAGCAGGTATCATACATTTATCAGCTCTGATCTCGGTGGTTTGTGGAAAGACACCATTGTATTAGAAAGTAGAGATTGTACAAACAGTTCACTATCCTCCTGTGGCAGGAGGTTTATGAGAGATTTGGGGAGAGGAGAAGGAAACCAACATTAAGTGCTTAACTAGCAATTTTCTAGGCAGTGAATGTTATTATAATTTTATAGGGAGAACACAGGGCCTCAGCTAAATTTCTCCAGGGTCATAGATCTGGTAAGTGGCTGCACCAAGTTCAGAGTTGGAATCTTTGTTCCATTAGTAAACTAGCTAGCTCTTGCTCCTGTGTTTATGGGTTGTTCTGTGTATCAACTCATTTAATCATTGTAACAATTCTTTGGAGGCTGTTTCTGTCATTATTTCCACTTTGCAGATCAGAACCCAGAGCACATGGAAATTGCCCATTGTCATATGTGAGGCCTTCATCCCAGGTGTTCTGGTTCCAGAATCTCACCATTGCTGAGATCTAACATGCCTAGCCCGATTCCTGTTGTTTTCACTTTTGTAGTCATCAGCACAAGGAACTTAATTTTTAAAACCATTAAGAAGTTTTTCTTTGATAAATTAATACAAAACCTCTGATGTTGCTTTTGGCATGCTTGGGGATGATTAGATTTCACTTCTATTTCAGCTCCTGCAGCCATGCAGGGCACCACGAGAAGAACGGGTGTCATGACTGACGTCCACCGACGGTTCCTCCAGTTGCTGATGACTCACGGTGTGCTGGAGGAATGGGATGTTAAACGCTTGCAGAAGCACTGCTATCAGGTCCATGACCGTAAGTGTTGCTTCCCTGTTCCCAGTGTGCCCTGGTACTGTGTTGACTGGGGACTAGTGACAGAGCTACAGTACCAACCAGAATCCTAACCTGAGCATTCAAATCTCTTTACAGTCTTTTACAACATATCTTTGAAATCTCATCTTCCATGTTTTTCTCACAGTATTTAACCCAGTAGGTAGAAGTTTGGACTTTGAAGCTGTAAAGTCATGGTTTACACCAGGGCTCTGTTGTGTACTCCAGCCTCAGTTTCCTTGTCTGTAAAATGGGGATAGTAGTTGTATGTAACACATAGGGTGGTTCAGAGAGTGAAGAGTGGTGATACATGCAGAAGACTGAGCATAGGAAAAGACCTCAGTAGGCTAGTGTTAGTAGAGGGGAGCCAGAAAAAGTGCCAGCCACAAGCATTCAGAGCATCCTCTCAGTGGGACCCTGGAGGTGAAAATAAGATAATTGTGTGAGCATACAGGGCTGGGTCACTGGCGGGAACAGTTGAAGTAGTACAGTCAATGCAGTTAGGTCAGTAAAATCAGTGTCGGCTGCTTGTTGAGTTCAGTCAATATGGGGAGAGCTTGTTGAATGAAAACGAGAGATGTTATTGTATGATGTCATTGTATTAAGTTTTTAAAAGTACCAAAACATTTCCTCTGCTTATGCACACCCCTGTAAGTACAAGTACAAAAGTGGATGGAAGGATGTTCAGTGCACTTGGAGGAGTTTGCTTTCAGGCAGGGGCAGGAGTGGGTGGTCAGTAAAAGTGAAGGGACACTTCTTCATGCAAGCATGACATTCTTAGCATAGTCTTAACAGGTGTCACTCTGATTCATGGGAGTACAAGTGTTTGGTTTTTGTTTTGCATTTCTGTCTTTCCCTTTGTACTTTAAAGTTTCAAAAGAAAAATGGAAAAAAGTAAGACAGAGATGAGCCAAACCAAGAGGAGTGAGAAAAGGGGTGTGGGAGTTGGGGGGCACAAAGTACGTGGGTGAGTAGACATGAGAAAAAGTGCCATGTTTAGATCACTGCAATTCCTGCAGCATGATAGAAGTGGAGGTGGGATCCCAGAATGGAGGATGAGGAGGAAGGAGAGGCAGAGTATAGAAACAAGTGCTCTTTCAAAAGGGGCAGAGAAGAAAGATGAGGGACGGCGGCGTAAGTGTGTACTCCAGAGCCATGGTGCACTGAGCTCTGTAGGAAAGCCTGGGAGCCCACAGATGTGCAGGACCGAGTTAGGGGTGCAGAGCCCTGCGGTAGGGAAGCCTGCTGACCTGTGTCTACTGCTGTGAAACAGATCATGGAAGGTCTTGACAGGGGCATGGAAAGAGAGTACTTGCTTCTGGTGTGTGGGCTTCCAGATCACCAAGAATGATCTGAACACCATAGGAATGGCCTCACCTAACTCTGTGCACTGTGCAGACCTCTTGGTGAACTTGGAGCAGGGAAGTCCGGTGATTGGTGTTGACTTGAAAGCTGTCCCTCTAGTGAAATCTACATGCTGGAGTTGCTGGACCGGGGAGGACAGGGACCTTGAAGGATGGATTCTACCTGTCCACCTTGCTTCTCTTGCTCTTTAAGAGCCCCCAGTGGCCTCCAGAGATGGGCATAAGACAGTCTCTCATCTATTCTTATAGCTACATGATAGTTCATTGCTTCTTCCTTTTAGTTTCTCTTGTAAGTCCTGAATATGAGCTTTAACTTTGATGGGGAAGTTTTATAGTTCAGTGCAAGGAGTCATATGATACCTTAGTACTCAGAATGAAAGTGTTTTTGCCTTTATTTGACCTTTAAAATCTTATTTAGGAAAGTCCTGTAGAATGTGTCTAGGAATTGACTCTTTGTGGGGGATACGTTCCAAGCCCCCCCAGTGTAGGTCTGAAACTACAGCTAGTACCAACTTCTATATGTGCTGTTTTTTCTAAAGTTTAATGTGTAAGTTAGGCTTCATGAAAGATTAACAAGAGTAACTAATAATAAATAGAGCAGTTATGATATGCTGTAATAAAAGTTATGTGAATTTGTGCTCTTGCTCTCTGTCATAGTATCTTATTATAATGTATTGACCCTGACTGTGGTTGACCTCAGGTAACTAAAGAAGCAAACAGCAAAAGCAGGAGTAAGGTGGGAGGGACGGCTGCATTTTTCACACATTATGTATCATTTCTTTGCATCCAGATGGGGTTATGGTGGGGTGAGCAAGATGTAGGTATAGTCTGTTTTCTCCTATCTGGCATTAATAATAATAATAATAATAAAGCTTGTTCTCAAGCATCCTTGTTACTAGAGAGATATTGAAACAAGTTATGATGGAAAGAAAAATAAGTACAAGACTCAGAATTGTAACTCTTCTACATTTTTTGAAGAGATGCCCAGGAAAATCCCTTGTAGCAACTAGAAATATTCTTTCTCAGAGAACTGTGAGACAGAGGAGTGATTGAAACTGCAAGCCACTCGAGTTGCCATTTCCCTTGGCTAGTCCAGTTGTCAAAGCACTCCTTATTTTGGACTTTTGTTTGGGCTGTCTTTTTACTGTTCTTAAGGGAGAAACATTCCATATACTTCCAGGTAGGAAAGAGTTTAGACTTAATTCTGAATCTCTGGTGTAAGCCTTGGACCTGGCCTTTCAAAAAGGTGCTGGCGACCTGCATTTTTGGAGAACTTTAGATTCTGTCCTGGGGTTGTGTCCATATACATGTTAGTTCATCTAGCAGAGCTTACCAAGAATCTATGTGAGCCAGGCCATGCTAGTGACTGGTGATGAAGAGACAGTGTTTGTTTTACCTTGGATCTCGTGAGTCATACAGACAAGGAGTCAGATGATCCCAGTAAAAGCCCTTTCATGTAGCAAGCACAGGAAGTCCAGAGAGCAGTGTTGGAGAAGACTTAGGTTTGAGGATTTCCGGTTTAGCCATGATGGAGTAACAGGGACCCTGTTACACCTCCCTGCCTAAAATAGTCCAGAAGTAGACAAGGTATAGGAAACTGGACATTAGTCAGTGGAGGGCAGTGATGTCTTGAGAGGCAGGCAGGGAGAGCTTCTTTCCCTCCTGACATGACGTGATACATTTCAGGTCCTCTTCCCTCTGTGGATGTTAACTGGGTGTGTAATGGTACCCTTAAGCTCTGACGCTGTCTCCCTGACTGAACTCAGATCCCACCAGCTGGGGCTCAGTCCTACAGGCTGCCCACGTCCCGTGGCTGTTGAAGCCTTGGGTCACCTGCACTTCTGATTGACTGTCTGCAAATCAGGGGTTTCCATGACCCGCTTCTGTTTGGTGAATTGCTAGATGACTCACTAAACTCAGGAATATACTCCTCTTACACTTACTGGTTTATTCTAAAAGGGTATAACTCAGAAATAGTCAATAGAAGAAATGCAGAGGACAAGGTAAGGGAGGTGGGGTGGTGTGGAACTCCCATGCCCTCTAAGTGTACCACCTCCTTGGCACCTCATTGTGCTTGTTCCCCTGGAGTCCTTGTGTCCCATTGTTTAGGGGTGTTAGGGAGCTTTCCTTACAGAGGCACAATTGATTAACCTTTGGCCAGCTGTGATTAACTCAATCTCTAGTTCCTCTCCTCGTTCTAAAGATTGGGAGTGAGGCTGAAAGTTGTAAGCTTCTAGTCCAGACTATGTCTCTGGTGACCTAGCTACCTAGGGGCCTATCAGGAGTTGCCTCTTGAGAACAAAAGGTGGTCCTATTACTGTCCTCACGCAGAACCTTCCAAGGGCGTTAGCAGTGCTGTGCCAGGAAGTAGAGACAAAGTCACTTACAGTGGGGGCGTGCTGCAGTTGCTTGCAGCTCACTGCCTTCCAGAGTTCTCAGCTGTGGAGCCAGGACCCAGGCAGAGCTAGGCAGACCCCGAACTGAGATGGAGGTGAGAGTGCAGAGGGCCAAGGCAGCTGGGGCTTGCAGAACAGAATCCTCATATTTGTGTATAATGCGGGAGAGAGAAAATGCCAGAGAGTTCCAGAGGAACTGAGGATTGATCAGCAGGGGGTCCCTGAGACCAGGGAAGAAGAAGGTGTGCAGAGGACTGGGTGTGGTGCCTGTTCTGGGCTCGGTAGCTTCTACTGAATGTGTCAGTACAGGTTGAGCATTCCAAATTCTAAACCCAAATGCTCCAAAGTCTAAAATTTGTTGAGCACCACCATGATACACAGGTGGAAAGTCTACACCACAAATCTTTCACACACAAAGTTCTTTAAAATATAAAGGTATAAAATCAGCCGGGTGCCAGTGGCTCACACCTGTAATCCTAGCTACTTAGGAGGCAGAGATCAGGAGGATCAAGGTTTGAGGCCAGCCAGGGCAAATAGTTCCTTGAGACCCTATCGTGGAAAACCCTTCACCAAAAAAAAAATAGGGCTGGTGGGAGTGGCTCAAGGTGAAGGCCCCGAGTTCATACCCCAGAACCTCAAAAAAAAAAAAAAAAAAAATATATATATATATATAAAATCACCTTCAGGCTATGTGCACAAGGTGCATATGAAACATAAGTGAATTTGTGTTTACATTTCTGTCCCATCCTTGATGTATCTCATTATGTATATGCAAATATTCCAGAATCTGAAAAAATTCCAAAATTCAAAACATGTCTTTTCCCAAGCATTTCAGATAAGGGGTCTTCAACCTGTAATACTAATTGTGCCCTAACTCTTCCAGCAAATTGAAGAGAAGGGAACACCTCGCAGCTTGTTTTATGAGGCCTGTGTTATTCTGTTTACCTAAAGACATTGCAAGAAAAGAAATCACAGACAAGATGCCTCATGAATATAGATGCTAAAATTCTAACCCAAAGATGTGTAAAAAGGATGATATGTGATCAGGTGGAGTTTATCCCAAGAATGCATGGTCACTTTAGTATTTGAAAGTCAATCAGCATAATTCATTGTGTTAACAAACTGAGAAAAATCATATGTTAGGTGACAAAAATTTAGTATCTACCTGGACTGACACAGCAGAAGTTTCTCATAGACCAAAGGAGTCAGAAGGCTGGGTGCAGTG